GTATGTTAGGGAAGGCTGTTTGGATTACTCCTCCCTCGGGCGAAGACAAACCCATTCGTGGGATTGTTTTCGCTCAAGGGCCCGGAAATAACTGGTGGGTAATGAGAGAGGATGGAGAGATCCACTGTGTGCCTCAAGGAAATTTAACCTTGGGGAAAGACTAATCATGTGCTTTGAGTTGTGTTTTACAGGAAACCAGTCACCAGGTGGGAAAGACCTGAACAAACTAATGCCGGTATCCAGTGATAAACCAACCCAGACCAGAGAACCAGCCCTAAAACCACAACTGTAATTGTCACCAAAGAGCCAGGAATCTGAACCAAGCTAATCCTGATGCTGATTCTTCTACAACAAGATGGATACTCTAAAGAATGAACAAAGACTATATACATTTATCCATATGTGTATATATACGAAAGATATAAGTGAAGGCAGAATATAGGTGTTACGTAAAAATAGTATGGAATAAGGGGTGGGGAATGTGATGGTTTTGATCTAGGCCTTCCTGGTAACCAGTTTGTAACCAAGGAAGTGGCCAAGTACCCAGTATTCCATACGATTTTTACGTAAACCAGAGTATAAATAAGTTGGAGATTAGAGACCTCTCTCTCTTCTCTTCCAATGAGGGTCGGGAACTGTAGGTCCTTGCGTTGGTCTCGCTTATCTAAAGCTGAGGCCTGCAGCGACCGCTGGCCTGCCACGTGGGGGGTTCGGAGAGTGCTGGCTGTGTCTGCCAATCCTGCTTTTTCTAAGGGAAGTGGTGAGATCTGTTTTGTTAATTACTAGTATAGTTCTTGAATTTGATCAAGTATACCTGTTCGGTGTCCCTTTTTTCCCCTTTCCCTATCCCTTCGGGGAGTGGATCCCCTTTTACTGTGTATATAGCATCTTAACTGTATATAACTTTAATTTACGTAAATATATATATGTTTTATATAAACAGCTTGACGTTGAGTTCTTCAATTTTTTATAGTTTTTTTTCTTTGCCCTAAGAGGAGAAGGGAGGGAGGAAGGGGGCTGCTGTCGTGACTTTCGGGCATTTGGCAGGGAGCCAAGTCTAAACCATCACACAGGGGGAAGATTTTCTGCTCTGCCCTGCACACCCCAGTGCTGGGGCCAAAACTCAGCCTCTCTGCTTCCCTCTCCTAAGGGACTCGTACCTGTACCCGGCTCTCGGGCCCTCCCTGGCTCAGAGCCCTCAATTTATCCTGCAGAGAGCTGGGCATGTCATTCCACCTTCCAAAAGCAGGTCCCTTGGGTTGGCTCAGAGGTTCATGCAGTCACACCAGGCCCTGCCCAAGCCCTCCCATCAGGGGCTGGGCCCTGGAGGCAGGGGGAGATCCCTCCCATGGCATGGCCATTCTTGCCCAGCCCTGTCTGGCCCAGCCTCTTCCCCCCTGTACACTCACCCCTGGCACAGCCTGCACTGGGGCAGCATTTACTTCTTGGGCCCTTCAGAGCTGCCCCCATGGGGACACTTCCATTTTCTGTGCCAGCACCAGAGCCAGCCCAGCCAGTCCTGCCCCTCGTCCCCAGCCCGGCTCACTGACTCCAATTGCCCCTGGAACCCAAGAGCCAAAGGTGACACCCCCAGAGTGCAGCCCCACCCTCTGCAATGGGGCCCAGGGGTTCCCTTTCCCAAGCAGCCCCTGCAAACCCTTGTCAGAGACAAAATGGGCTGACTGAGTCCTGGATGCTTTTACTAAAGAGCTGGAAACATTCCTTGGATAATGGAGGGGGTGACTTTTTTATTCTTGACATTTCCAGGTCTCCATCTGGGGGCAGGATGTCCTCCAGGCTGATGTTTTATTCCTTTTGGAGTGAGTGCAGCCTCAGAGGGCTGAGCCCTCTCTGGCTGGGCTGGGCCTGTCCTGGAGAGCCTCAGACCTGGCTGGGCTGCCCCAGGCAGACGCTGCAGGATGAAGAGCTCAGGCTGCTGTGTCTGCTGTCCCTGGGGCTCAGCCTGTGCCCCATTCCTGCCCTTGGGGCTGAGCCCACCTCTGCCTCGGGGCCTTGGGCAAAGTGCTGGCGAGGGAGAGGCCCAGGAGCCTTGGGGCCTGCCCAGCTTTCCTCCTCCCTGGGGGCTCCCAGTCCTCTCCTGACACCCTGTTGGCCCCAGGACTTGCCGGCTTTGGGCTCACGACCCGCCGGCACCATCCCACCGGCCTGACCCCCCTCCCTGCCCTCTCTCCAGCCGCTCCTGCCTTTGATGGCACCATCCAAGGAAAACCCTGGTGATCAGCAATGGCACCTGTGGGACGGCTGCAAGGCTCGAGTGTGCCAGGCAAGAGCAGGAGCACAGAGAGCCTGAGGAGCCAGGAGATGCCCTGGCTGGGCATCGTGCTGCTGTGGGACGATCTGACCCCTCTGCACAGTCTGTGCCGTCCCTGCCAGCCAAGTTCTGCCCGGGCTCTGTGCACGGGGACGGAGCGCTGACAGTTTTCAGCCCCGCGCTGTTCCACAAAGGCTGGGATGGCACAAGGCCCTTGCCTGGCACCCAGGAGATGGGCAAGGCAAGGCAAGGACGGAGCCTCTGAGCCACCAGCACGCTGTCCCAAAGGCTGGGATGGCACAGAAGCCCAAAATCCATGAGGTTGGCAGAGACTTCTGAGGTCAACCGGCGTCCAGCCTACGACCCATCCCCAGCACGTCAAGCAGACCACGGCACTGAGTGCCATGTCCAGCCTTCCCTTAAACACCTCCAGGGACGGTGACTCCACCACCTGCCTGGGCAGCCCATGTCAATACCTAATCCCTGTTTCTGCCCAAGAATTCCTGCTCCTGTCCCTGACAAACATCCCCTGACAGGCAGGTCCTCATGTCCTCTTGTCCTATCACCTGTTGCCTCTCAGAAGAGGCTGAGCCCACCTGGCCCCACCCTCCTGTCAGGAAGTTGTGGACAGTGAGAAAGTCAGCCCTGAGCCTTCTCTTCTCCAGGCTGGAGAACCCCAGCTCCCTCAGCTGCTCCTCACAGGACATGCACTCCACACCCTTGCCCAGCTCCAGTGCCCTGCTCTCGACCCACTCCAGCCCCTCAATGTTCTTTGTGAATTGAAAAGCCCAGAACTGGACACAGCACTCCAGGGGTGGCCTCAGCAGTGCCCAGTCCAATGGAGGAATCCCTGCCCTGCTCCAGTAGCTTCCAGCATGATTCCAGTTCCTCACAGCCATTCCCAATCACTCCCAGTATGATCCCAGTCACCTCCAGCATGATCCCACTTGCTCCCAGGATATCCCAGTTCCTCCAACATGGTCCCAACTGCCCTCAGAATGCTCCCAGTCACTCCCAGTATGATCCTTGTATGATCCCTGTATAATCCCAGTACAATCCCAGTTACCCCAGCATGGGCCAAGCTGCTCCCAGTTGCCTCCAGCACAGATCCAGTCAAGCCAAGTATGATCCCAGTCTTCCCCGAGCATGGTCCCAGTCACTCCCAGTTGTCCCACTGTAGATCCAGTCACTCCCAGTTGCTCCCACTTGCCTCTTGAATGGTCCCAGTCACCCCCAGTATCATTGCAGACACTCCCAGTATATCCCAGTTGCCCTCAGCATGCTCGTATCATACCCAGTTACTTCCATTTGCCTCAGGATGCTTCCAGTTCCCATCAGTGTGATCCCAGTCACTCCCAGTCTATGCCAGTTGCCTCCAGCATGCACCCTGTCACTCCCAGTTACTCCCACTTGCTTCCAGCATGATCCCAGTTGCTCCCAGTCACCCCCTGCGTAGTTCCAGTCACTCCCAGTATGATCCTGGGCACTTCCAGTCACTCCCAGGATGGTTCCAGTTTGGTCCTGATCACTCCCACTATGATCCCAGTCACTCCCAGTAACTCCCAATACAATCCCAGTTGACCTCAAGGTGGTCCAGTTGATCCCAGCCCCACCAGCATGATTCCTTTCCCTCTCAGGGACTCCCAGTCTGAGTCCAGTCTGGCCCCAGGCACTTTCAGGCACTGCCTGGACGATGCCATTTGCCCCTGCATGGTTCCAGTTGCTCCCAGTATGATCCCAGTATGTGTCCAGTCATCCCAGTGGGATCCCTGAACATCCAGACACTTCCAGTACGAAACCAGTTTGATCCCACTCATCCCCAGTATGGCTGCAGTCCCTCCCACACACTCCCAGTATTATTGCAGTCACTCCCAGTATGATCCCAGTATGACCCCAGTAGGACCCAGTTGCTCCCAGTATGATCCCAGTTGCCCCAGTTCTGGTCCCGCTGGGTCCAGTCCAGCTCTGGGTGTATCCCGGTGTCCCCCCTGTCCCCCCACCCCGCTGTCACCCCCTTTTCTCTCCCCACAGAGCTCCTGAGCCGGTGGCGGCCGCAGCCCCTCCCTGGGGCCTCGGGCACAGCCTGGACCCCCCCCGTGTCCGTGAGGATTTTGGGGGCTCGTGTGTCCCCCTCCCCTGCTGTCACTCTGCCTCCACCCAGCTGCTCCCAGTGACCCCAGGAAACCTTCCCAGTTCTCCCCAGTCCAGTTACTGGGGGAAGTGAAGGGGTTTGGAGGATCCCAAGGGGTGGAGCCGAGTTTGGGGGGGCAGAATCGGCCCCAGGATGGATTGGGAATGGGGACCCCCTGTGTTCCCCCCGTGTCAGGAGGGCACCGGCTCCTCAATAGGCACCCAGTTCACCCCAAAAGGTGCTGGGACCCCCCAAAACCTCTCCACAGTCCCTCAAGGTCCCCCAAACATAATCACACCCCACTCAGGACCCCACTGGGGAGTGGGGGGATGATGTGGAAGGGGTGGGAGAGGGGGGAAAAATGTGGGGGTTGAGACCACAAAACTGATCTGGGAGGGGCTGTGGATTGAGAGGACAGAGGGAACAGAGAAGGGTGGAAAAGGGGGGGTGGTCAGGCAGGTCTGACGGTCCCATGGGGGTCTTTGGGGAGTGGGGAAAGGGTAGTGCCCCCCTGAGCTCCCAACTTACCGTGGGGAGCTGGGGCTGTTGGATCCAATCTCAGCCTTGGGTTATGCCAACACTTTCAGTTAAGAGGAATTACAGAGGTGGGACTGAACCACTTTTGTCCCCCAGGTTTTAATCATGACAAATCACATCTATTGATAGAAATGAATTATTTAGGGTTACAAATGATCAGACAAAAGATCCTCATCAGAATTATTTACTGCACAATAGAAACACTAAAACTACCAGTAGTACAGCATAAGATAGGACAGTGCACTAAACTAAAGCAATTCTTAAATCAATTCTACTCAAGCTGGCACCAAAACAAGAATTATGAATTAGAGATGGATGGAACTCCCCCAGAGCAACGCTCGTGGGGAGATCTCTGCTCTCAACCTCCAGCACTGACCTTGGGGGGCCCCAGCCAAGGCAGAAATCTCCACACACCCCCCAAGAAGGGTTCTGTTGGCACAACCTGCCCCTGGCAAAGGGGATGGGCCCTTTCTGGTAGAAAGGGATGGACTGACAGTCACTGGACTCCAGGGGTTGCCTCACCATCAGGGGGTCATTCGGGGTGGGAGCAGCGGCCGAAGCTCTTCCTGCAGTTGGGGCACTCGTAGGGCCTTCCCTTATTGGTGAGTCCGTTGGTGTTTGGTCAAGGTAGACCTCTGGGTGAAGCTCTTCCCACACTCTCCACACTTGAAGGGCCTCTCCCCGGTGTGGATGCGCCGGTGGGTGACGAGGTTGGAGTTCTGTTTGAAGCCCTTCCCGCAGTCGGTGCAGCGGAAGGGCCTCTCCTCTGTGTGTGTCCGCTGGTGCAGGAGGAGAGTGGAGCTGGTCTGAAACCTCTTCCCACATTCCAAGCACTTATAGGGCCGTTCCCCAGTGTGGATGAGCTGGTGGCAGCGGAGGTCAGAGTTCCGGTGGAAGCTCTTCCCACATTCCCCACACGTGTAGGGGCGTTCCCCAGTGTGGATGCGACGGTGTCTGGAAAAGGGTGGAGTTGTCACTGAAGCTCTTCCCACATTCCCCACATGTGTAGGGCCGTTCCCCAGTGTGGATGTGCCGGTGGGTGTGGAGGCTGGAGCGGATACTGAAGCCCTTCCCACATTCCTCACAGATGTACGGCTTAAGGGTGGAGTTGTCACTGAAGCTTTTCCCACATTCCCTACACGTGTAGGGTCGTTCCCCAGTGTGGATGTGCCGGTGGGTGTTGAGGCTGGAGCGGATACTGAAGCCCTTCCCACATTCCTCACAGATGTACGGCTGTTCCCCAGTGTGGATGCGCTGGTGTTGGATCAGGTGGGAGCTGCTCCTGAAGCTCTTCCCACATTCCTCACACGTGTAGGGCCGTTCCCCAGTGTGGATGAGCTGGTGTCGGATCAGGTGGGAGTTCTTGCTGAATCTCTTCCCACATTCCTCACACGTGTAGGGCCATTCCCCAGTGTGGATGCGACGGTGTTTGATAAGGGTGGAGTTGTTCCTGAAGCTCTTCCCACATTCTCCACACGTGTAGGGCCGTTCCCCAGTGTGGATGCGACGGTGTGCAGTCAGGTTGGAGTTCTGCCTGAAGCTCTTCCCACATTCCCCACACATGTAGGGTCGTTCTCCAGTGTGGATGCTCTGGTGTCGGATCAGGGTGGAGCTGTCACTGAAGCTTTTTCCACATTCCCTACACGTGTAGGGCCGTTCCCCAGTGTGGATGTGCTGGTGCCTGAGGAGGCAGGTGCTCTTCCTGAAGCTCTTCCCACATTCCAAGCACCTGAAGGGCTTCTCCCTGCTGGGAGGCTGCTCAGGGACCACCAGCTCAGAGCTCTGGCTCAAGCTCTGGTCGCCTTCCCGGCACAGGACGGGTCTTTCCTCCTCAGAGCTCCCTGGGCTGGCTTTGCAGCCCCTCCTCCGGGGGCATCTCGGGGCCTTTTCCTCCCCGCTGCCTTCCTGCGCCGGGGAGCCCTTCAAAACGGCCTCTCCCACCAGGCTCTGCCGGGGGGATTTGTCCTCCGTGCTCTCCGTCCTCAGCTCGGGGCCTGGGGCAGGAAGGAAGAAGGACAGGCAGGGGATTTGCCTCCGGCCCAGAGGGAAGGCCAAGGACATCCCCCAGTCCAGCCCCTACTGGACGGCGGCGCCAGCGGGGTTGTCCTGCAGCCGGGGGCGATGCTCGGCTGCCACAGGAACCACAAGACAGGGCCAAAGGGGCACTGACTTCCTCCTCACCTGCCTGGGGGGCCCGCGGCATTTTCCTCTTCCTTGCAGCCTCCTCCTCCATGCGCCCAAGCTTTGGGAAGGACAAATTCTGCTGGGGGCAAACAAGGGCTGAGCGCGTTGCCTTGGGGGTTCCTCCTGCCCAAGTCCATCTCTAGAACTCACTGGGCATCCTCTGACCGTAAAAACCTCCAAGACACCAAGATTCAGCCCAAAAAACCCCAGCCAGGAGCTCCTCCTCTCTGGTCCCTCCACTTTGGGATTCTGGAGGTCCCCTCTGTCCAGGCTGCTGGGAGTCCCGTGTGTATTTGGGGTCTCCCCTCTACGGGGTCCCTGCCCTCCCTCTCCAGGCTGCTGGGGGTCCCAGGAATCCAAGACTCCCCCATCTCCCAACTTCAGGGTTCTGGGGGACCTCCAAAACACCAAGATTCAGCCCACAAAAACCCAAACCACCAAGATTCAGGTAAAAACCCCTCAGAAACAGCAAGAAGACCCCTGGCCCCAAAATTGCAAAAAAGTTGAGATTCAGCTGAAATATAAATTCTGAAGATGAGACAAAAAAAAATCTCTCCCAGGACTTCCCCCTCTTTTGTCTCCCCCCTCTGGGGTTCAGAGGGTTTCCCCTGTCTGGGATGTTGGGAGTCCCACTTAGGGATGCTGGGAGTGTTGGGGGTCCCAAGGGTCCCTTCTCCTCTGACTCTCCCCTTTGGGGTGCTGCCTTCCCAGACATTCCCTCTTGAAACGAGAGCAAGGCCTGAAGAATTACCTGAAATATCTTGCTTAGCTGAGAGAAGCCCCCCCATACCTGCTCTGCCTAAATTGCTAAAGAAAAATCTGTTCTGTTCTGTTTCTTGGACCTGATCTTAAGAAGAATGCTGGAAACATTCTACAATGGATCTCTAGGCCACAAATTAAGGCAAAGTCAGCCAAGGTAGACATTTGAATAGGAGAAATAGGCCTAAAGCCAAGGCTCTCTCCATGTTTCAGTGAGTGGGGCAAAGACAGTGGAAAGTTAGAGAGGTCAAACTGAGGAAGACTACAGAGACCTCAGCCTCGATGATGAAGAAAGGGGGATGAACCCCCAGAACTGAGGGCCAAGAAAAGCTCCACCCCAAACTCCTCCTGAGCTCTTCCTGTACTCCAGCTATTATCAACATGAATGATTAGATGTTGAAATCATATGAATAGGAATGTAAAGCGTTGCAATAATAGAAGTTACACTGTATAAATTACCCTGTTTTGTACAGACACCTTCGAGCAAGAGCTTTGTGGTGCGAACCCCGCCTGCTCCCGACGTCCACAAATAAACACCTTTGCTGCTCTAAAGACCAAAAGCTTCTGGGCAGTTTCTTTACCAGATTTCTCTGGAGAGCAGATTGTGCCCCAGGGCTGGGATTGCAGAGGGGCCCTCAGGTCCCCAGGAAGAAGCAGCAACCAGCAATAGACACAAAAGGATCCCCCAAGGATTTCAGGGGGAGTGTCCTGCAGGGAGGGGACAGTGTCACCCCACGAGGGCAGGGCTGGCAAGTGGGAGGCTGCTCCAGGGATCTGCAAGAGGCCTCGTGCTCTGCTCGGCCCCATCAGTGGTTGAGACCAACACCCCGTCCTCGTGGCCAGCGGCTCTTTCCTGCCCCAGCCAAGAGGTTCCCGGCCCCCCAGAGCTCCCCTGGGGCTGTCCCTGCTCCTCCCTGCAGGCTCCGTGGCCGGGCACACTTTGTGTTCCTGGGTGCCACCAGCTCAGCAGCTGCAGCCGCTCCAATCAGCGCCCGCAGCTCTGCAGCAAAGCCCCAGCTCACCTGGCACACAGGGCATGGACACAGCACCTTCTCGCTGCTGGGCACTCCCAGCTCAGCCTCTTCCCCAGCACGGGGCTCTCCTGCCTCAGCACCACCTCTGCCTTCCACTTCTTCTCAGGGACACCTCAGGGCCAGCTCTCCAGGACAGGAACCTGCAGGGAGGGCAGATGATGTGCAAGCCCAGGGGGGCCTGCTTGCACTGGCCTGGGGGCTTCTTTCTCCTTCCACAACCACCCCACATCTTCTCCTGCTTTTCTAACCCCACATCTTTGCAGACTGACCTTGTCTCTCTGTCTGCACAGACACATCTATCCCCTGTGGACAGAGCCTCCAGCATGTGCTGCCCTGGCAATGGCACCCAGAGAATCCCAGAATCCGCCACCTTGGAAAAGACCTCCCAGATCATCAAGTGCACCCCTTGATCCAACCCCGCCGTGGTTCCCAGACCGTGGCACGGATGCCCAGGGGAGGGGCTTTGGGGATGAGGGCTCTCCCAGTACAGCCCAGTGCCCCCTCAGTGCCCTCCCAGTACAGCCCAGTGCCCCCAGCACAGTCCACTGTGTTCCTGTCCCAGGGTGCCAGGTGATCCCTCTTTAGGGGTGTTTGAGAGGATTTGGGGCATTTTGGGGGCCTCTGGGTGCATTTGGGGGAGCTAAAAGAGGTCTTGGGAGCATTGGAGGGCTCAAAGGGATCTGAGGGGGGGGAGGGGATTAAAGGAAAAATGGGGGTTAGAGGACATCTGGGGGATTATTGGGGCCTAGGGGGGACAGGAGGGGCAGCACCATAAGCAGGTGAGTCCTGAGACCCCCCTGGTGTCCCCAAGACCCTCCTGCTGTCCTCAATTTCCCACTTGGCACCCCGAGACCCCCCTGGTGTCTCCAGTGTCCCCAGGGCCTCCCCATGGCCCCAATTCCCCCCTTGACACCCCCCATTCCACTGGCCCCAAACCCCATCCCTGATGTCCCCAACCCTCCATCTCCCCCCCCAATGCCCCCCTGGACCCTCTGACCCCCAAAATGGCCCCGGTCCCCCCAAGCTCACAGAAAAGCCAAGGGCATCTGGGGACACATTGGGGACACTTGGGGGGCTTTGGGGGGCACTGGGTGATTACTGGAGGATACTGGGACACACTGGGGGGAACCAAGGGGCACTGGGAGGGACTGGGGGGTTATTGAGGGATGCTGGGAGGGCACTGGGAGGGACTGGGTGATTAATGGGGAATCACCAGGACACATGGGGGGACACTGGGAGGTTACTGGGCCATACTGGAGGTTACTGGGTGCTCACTGGAGGATCATTGGGCCATACTGGGGGGCAATGGGAGGTCACTGGGCTATACTGGGAGCACTGGGATCTCCTTACCCGGATGTGGTTCATCTCCCTGCAAAGAATTTGGGTGGCACTCCCAGGACCCCTCCCCTGAGGGCTGAGGGACCCCCTGGACCCCAATGATAGGCTTTGGGGACCCCCGGGGTTCCCCCCCCGTGGGGTTTCTGTGTGCTGAGTTTTGGGGGTCTCTGGGGTTCGGGGGGGCTTCAGGACCCGCTTTCCCTGCGGTCGGTCCGCCCAGCCGGCAGGGGGCGCTGTGGCACGAGCGGCAATGGCGGCGCCGCGCGGAGCCTCATGGGAATTGAAGTTCCACATGAGAACTCCGCCGGCGCCTGCGCAGTGCAGCCATGGCGTTTAAACAGCTCCCCCCAGAAGGGTTCCGAGGCCCCCAGCCCTTTCAGGGACCCCCTAAACCCCTTCAGGCACCTTCACCCTCCCCTCTGAGCGCCCTCAGGACACCAAATCCCTTCCGCGACCCCCCGAGAGCCCCTCACGGACCTCAAAACCTCCTCGGGAACCCCCGAGCCCCTCCTCTCCACTCTGCCGAGCCCTCCAGCCTTCCCGCCCACAGCCGCGCTCCCCGCAGCCCCCGAGCGCATCCCCAGACTCACCGCAGGCCCCGCCGGCTCTCACAGAGTCGAAGATTCCGCTGTCGCCGCCATCGCTTTCCCGGCAGCCACCGCGGGGCTGTGCGCGCGCACCGCCGGCAGAGACCCCGCCCCGCTCAGCCAATCAGCGCGTGGTGCCGCTCCCATTCCGCCCCGCCCCCTTTTCCGCGCGGGGCACGCCGGGAGTTGTAGTTGCAGCGGCTCAAAGCTCCAAACTCCCCCAGACTCAATTCCCCACGGGCGTTCCTGGGGCAGAGCGGGGCAGAACCGGGGCGGGGACGGGACGGGCATTGGGTGGAAATCATTACAAAAACTGTAACCCCTGCGTTGGAAGGTGCGTGGGTGGGTTTGTATTCCTGGAGCCAAGGCAGATACAAGGAACCACAACAAACCATTCTATTTTATGGTTCTTATATCTTAAACAGATATAAGGACCAGAGGAAAGACAGCTCTTACACCTGCAGTTGCTGTCACCTGCTTAGAGATAATCAAAATGCCCTCCAAAATTTAAAACTGGACTTCATCTCAGCATTTTGTGTTTGAATCCCTTTGTTCATATGCACACCACTCAGGAATCTCAGTGAAATTGAAGCTTTTATTGAGGAAAATTATAATCTACTAATATCTGTCTATCTATCTATCTATCTATCTATCTATCTATCTATCTATCTATCTATCTATCTGTCTTATAATCTGTCTAATCTATCTCTACCCTATTATCTATTGGCACACTGTGATGAAACTGTGACCCAGCTCAAGCCCTAAGGTGTGTTCTGGGCAATCCCAGGCTGGTGACAGGAATCACTGGGTGAGCCCAGGCTGGCAGTGTGTGCTTGGGGCAGCCAAATGCCCGAGGTGCTGTCCCTGCAGCCGTGGCTGCGGTGCCTCCCTGTGCCGCGCTCTCAGCCGGACGCTGCCGAGGCTCACACGGTCACCTGCAGGCAGCTGCCTGGTGCTGGCAGCCTGGCACTGTTGCTCCTGCCCTCATGGGACACAGGTGCCAAGGAACAGCCTGGCACAGCCCTGAGCACCCTCCTGAACAGGCAGGGTCGTTGCCATCGCTCCAGGCCGCAAGTGGCTGTGGCAGAAGGAGATCCGTGGCCAAGGGGCTGAGCGGGCAGCAGGAAAGCTCCTGCCTGTCCCACTGGCACCAAGGGCTCTTGCCAGGGAAGAGCAGGCAGTGCACAGGCAGTGGTTGTGGTTGTGGCGGTGCCGGCCTGGCCTGGGTGCTGCTCCCTGGGATGGCTGGGCCAGGCCTGCCACCACTGGGATGATGGCATTGGCACTCATGGTGACATCAGCCATTTGAAACAGGTCACACAGACCGGACATGTAAATTTAGTGTCGAACTTAGGTGGGAAGTTCCTGCCTCACAGTGCTCTTTGCAACAGTTGTTCTGTAAAAGAATGGAGTTACACAGCTCAGTGCTTCCATTTCAACATTTTCTGTCCTTTCCCACACTGGAAAATTTGTACCAACCTGCTGACCAAAAGTCGTTGGCTTTACCACCTGTGGCTGGGGTGTGTTCTGAGGCCGGGAGTTCTGCCCAGTCCCAGACGGTTCCCAAGGTGTCCCAGGCCAGCTGAATCCAGAGGTGGAACTGCAGCCAGATGTCTCCTGACATCGCTGATTGTGGCTGCAGATTTGCTTCTCTGGCGCTCCCAAAGGAGCTTCGCGTTGGCCTCTTCAAGTCTCTCCTTGGCTCTGAAACATTCAGAGGCACACAAAGAGTCACCTTGGGCAGTAACGCTTTGGCAAAGTTCCCCTCCATGTCCTTGACTATTCCTCGACTTCTAAATGCCAAGGGGATGAAGAGCATCCAAAACAAGCACATCCTTTGATCTGAGCTTGTGCAGAGGGCCTGTTTCCAAGAAATCACACCAAGTGCAAGGAGCAGCAAGTGTCACCTCCATAAGAACTCTGGGCTACCCTTCTGGCCTTCAAGGGAAAGCTCAAACCTCAGAGCCACTGCTAAAACAGAAAGATCATTCTTATTTTTGATTCACAGAATCCAACTCTGCTCTCTGAGAGGCCTCTCCTTATTCAAACAGGAAAGGCCACAAGATTCATCTTTTCTGTCACACACAGGAGGAGGAGATTAGAGATTGGCAAAAAGACTGCCTGTTAAATCAACATCAGCTGGAAAAAGACACCACTCATGCTGGCATGGTGCTACTGTGATGTTACTGCTGGAACTCTCTAGAGAAGGGAAGACAGGTCTGGTGAAGGGAAGGGTCTTGAGGTACTTTCCCCACAAATATGCCAGGTTATGCTTTCACACATCGTGCTGGCCAGATGTGGAAAAGGGATTTTAGAAGGAAAATGCACAAGGAAAAAGGAGTCTGTGATTACCACTCCAAAAAAACCATGAACTTACCTTTCCAGTTTCTTTGCGAGGCTTTTGCTGGTTTTCACTTCCTGCAGGTACAGCTCTTTGTACTTGTCCACTTCTGGCTGTCTGGATTCTTTTTGAAAAGGTCTTTCTTGTTGGTTGCTTTTTGTCCTTCCCAGTGCACGTTCAAGATCTCTAATTCTGTCTTCTAACTGGTTTTTCAGTGAGTCAAAATGACTGCTTCTGATTTTTTCTAATGTGTCCTGGTGGGCTGTCTGTGCCTGCAGGAGACAGTGCACCTTCAACCACCACAAGAAAAAGAGAGCTCTCCCCAGCAGAAAATTGCATGCACCCAATTTCAAGGCTTTGCTCAGAGAGGTACCTGTGCCTCCTCACAAGCAGCAGCAATCAAGGCAGAACCCAGGAGCTACCAGGGTAAATAATTCTTTTCACTCAGAAAGAAGCCAAATCAGTACGCTTATTCAAAGCTACCAATGGAAAGACACTGTATCTGCAGGACAGGGCATATTGAAAAGGATGCTTCAAAGACAATCAGAGCATCCCCACCTGCACCCCCTCACCCCACCCCTGTCATTTCAGGGACTCCTTTTCTGAGCACTTTCCCCCTACAAGGACAAAGCAGCACCCCAATGTCTGGCCATGACAGCTGCAAGTTGCCAAACCCATTGGAGGATGAGCAGCGAGAACCAGAGCAGGGGACAGAGATCCCCCCCAGGCACTGCCAACTGGGAATGTGCCTTGGGCAGGCTTTGGATTCAGGGACCTGCCGGCACATCACACACCCAGCACTGCTGCCCAACCATCTGCCCTTCTCCCACTGCCTCCAGCACAGACAGAAGTACAGCACTAACACACAGAATGCAGGAGGGAAGGGAAAATACCAGAAATCGTGGCCACAACAGAAGTTTACGTAGCGCCCATGGACACTGGAGAGAAATTCACTTACTTGCAAAAACTCATTGACTTCTTGCAGCTTTTGTGTTATTTCCTTGTGTGCTTGTTCTTCCACCTCTCTTTTACATTGTTCTAGCTGGGAGCGATCCACCATGTTTGTCTCCAAATGATGCTGGAGTTTTGACAGCTCTTCTTGCAGCTGGCATTTGTCCACCTCCAGTTTTTCACAGTTCTTATGCAGAGTGGACAGCTCTTCTTTCAAATCCTGATTTTGGGCTTCCAGCTGCAGGCATTTTTTAGATTCCCTGTCCAGCTGCTGGGAAAGTTCAGCAACCTGCAGACAGAAAGAAAAAAAGAAAGGAACTCAGCATGACCTAAAGGCAGTGAATTCTGTGAAAACCCCGAAAGGGGTGGCCAGGGAGAATATATTCATCATCTGCTGGCTCAGTACTAGAAACAAGGTGCAACCAGGCTCTTCTTTTCCAGCAAGAACAGCTTTCCCATCATTTCTGATAGGATTGCTCAGGTTCCCATCCTTCCTGAGTTCCTCAGGCAAAATGCTCCAAGCTTCTGGACTCCCAAGGAATGGCTGCAAAGGCAGGAAGCGATTCCACAGCGATGCCTTCCAACCCCAGCTTCACTCTGACACAGCCGCTCCAGCAACGAGTCCCAGTAACGAGCGGAGAGGAGACCAAAGGTTACCCGGCCCTGCTGAACAGGCAGAGCAGCCTCAAAAACACTGCTGGGAACAGCCCTGCTGGGTCCCCGCCACCAGATGGGCTGAAACAGCTCCCCGGGAGCAATAAGGGACAGGTTTTTCCCTGGGAGGCACCTCTGCTCAGTGTGCCCCGGGCAGCAACAGCTCTGCTGAGAAAAGCAAAACCTCCAGTGCCTCCTGCTCAGCTCGTGCCTGGCACAGGGCCCAGGGGCTGATCGTGCCCTGCGAGTGACAGCGCTGTTCCTGCCCTCTCTTCCAGGGAAGGAATTCATCTGTCAGTCCCAGGTGACGCTGGCACAGCCTCCCTCAAGCTGCAGCCAGGCTGAGCTGGGCCCCACTGCTCTCAGCCCAGGGCCGTGATGTCCTGCCAGGACGGCAGAGCTGCCCCTCCCTAAGGCCCAGCCGGGGGATCTGCACTCTTGGCTGGCCCCGCTTGCTGTCAGTGGGCCTGTTCTGCTCTTCTGGCTCAGGGGCTGTGGGACGGCTCCCTGGCCCGGGAGGTCACGCACCCTGCCAGGCTGGCTGCCACTCTGGGCTTGCCCTTCCTCTGCAGGACAGCCTGGCCTTCCTGAGCCCTTGCACCTCCTGCTTTGCACTGAACATTTGCATCTTTACCCGCAGTGATAACTACCCCAGGATTAGTTATAGTCATCTACTACTGTAACAGCAGAAGGAGCATTAGGAAAAGCCCATCAAATCCAAAATGCAGCCAAGGAAAATAAAAATCATCAACATGACAAGAAATACAGGGAAAGCATCTCCCAGGCTTCAAAAGAAGTAACACCACGACCGAAAACCCCACCCAAAAAGCGCAGCTCACCTCTGTTCGTAATCTATCAACTTCCTTGACCTTTTCAGAATATTTGTTCTTTATTTCTTCCTGCTGGGACTGGGTTTCTTTCTGTTCATTATCCCTGGGTTTCCTCCTATCTATCCTCAGAAGCTTTTCCAACCTGCACAGCAAATGAGTTAAGAAAACAATGAAACACAGGAAGAACCAGCCTTTTCCCCACAGTCTCACATAAACAGCACAGACATCATAGAAGCATAGAATGGCTTGGGTTGGAAGGAACCTGAAATATCATCTCTTTCCAACCCTCCTGCTGTGGGCAGGGACACCTTCCACAAGACCAGGTTGCTCAGAGCCCCATCCAGCCTGGCCTTGAACACTTGCAGGGATGGGGCAGCCACAGCTTCCCCGGGCAACCTGTTCCAGTTCCTCCCCATCCTCACAGGAACCAATTTCTTCCTGGTATCAAATCTAAACCTCCTCTCTTTCCCTTTGAAGCCATTCCCTCTTGTCCTCTCACTGCATGCTCTTTGAAATGGACTCTTTTCACCCTTCTTGTAGGCTCCCTTCACGTCCTGCAAGGCCACAATTAGGTTGCCCCAAAGCCTTCTCTTTTCCAGGCTGAAGTATTCCAGTTCTCCCAGCCTTTCCTCCCAGGAGAGGTGCTCCACCTTTCTAACCACCTTGGTGGCCTCCTCTGGACTCCCTGCAACAGGTGGAGGTCCCTGCTGTGCTGAGGAGCCCAGAGCTGGATGCAGCACTCCAGGTGGGGTCTGCCAAGGGCAGAGCAGAGAGGCAGAATGCCCTCCCTGCCCCGCTGGCCACGCTGCCTTTGCTGCAGCCCAGGGGACAATCGGCTTTGTGGGCTGCGAGCGCACATTGCCGGGTCCTGTCCAGCCCCTCATCCAGCCCAGGTGCTGCTGGGCAGGGCTGCTCTCCCTCTGTCCATCCCCCAGCCTGCATCCATACAGGGGCTGCCCTGAGCCACGGGCAGCATCTTGCACTGGCTCTTGTTAAACCTCCTGAGATTGCCATGGGCCCACTTCTCCAGCTTGTCCAGGCCCCTCTGGGTGGCATCAGGTGTGTCAACCACACCCCTCAGCTGGGTGTCAGCTGCAAATTTGCTGAGGGTGCCCTCCATCCCTTCATCTGTCTCCTTAGTGAAGATAGGAAATAACACTGGTCCCAACACAGACCCCACTCTGATGGCACTGCTGTCCCTCAGGACTCTGAGCCATTGATCACCACCTCTGGATGGGACTGCTCACCCAGTTTCTTAATCCATCTAAGAGCCCATGCATCAAATCCACCTCTCTCCAGCTTAGAGAGAAGGATGTTGTGGGGGACTGTGTCAAAGGCTTTCCAGAATTACAGGGAAAGGACATCTGGAGCCCTTGTCCACTGATGCAGTCACTCCATCTTAGAAGGCCACGAGGTTGGTCAAGCAGGACTTGGTGAAGCTGGGCTGGTGTCTCGAATCACCTCCTTGTCATCCCTGTGCCTTGACAGAGCTTCTAGAAGGATCTTTTCCATGACCTTCCCAGGCACACAGGGCAGCCTGACAGGTTGGCAGTTACCAGGGCCCTCCTTTCTACCCCTTTTAAAGATGGGTACAGTGTGTTTCCCTTTTTCCCATCACCTGGGACTTCACCTGACTGTCATGACTTTTCAAGTATCAAGGAGAGTGTCTTGGCAACTACATCAGACCCTGTTGGCCTATGTAGGGCAATAATGCTGGCGAGAAGTAGAAGATGGATTTCGAAGGAAAATGCATGAAGAAAAAGGAGTCTCTTATTAGCACTCCAAAGAAAGCGTGGACTTACCTTTGCAGTTTCTTTGTGAGGCATCTTCTGGTTCTCAGTTCCTCCAGGTACAGCCCTTTGTACATTTCCATTTCTCCCTGCGTTGCCTCTTTACAACAAGCACTCTCTTGTTGGGCTTTTTTAACCCTGTCCAATTCCCTTTTGAGATCTCTAATTCTTTCTTCCAGCTGGTTTCTTACTGAGTCACAATTCCTGTCTCCAATTTGTCCTAATTGGTGCTGGTAGGCTGCCTGTGCCTGCAGGAGACAGTGCACCTTCAACCACCACAAGAAAAAGAGAGCTCTCCCCAGCAGAAAATTGCATGGACCCAATTTCAGGGCTTTGCTCAGAGAGGTGGCTGTGCCTCCTCACAAGCAGCAGCAATCAAGGCAGAACCCAGGAGCTACCAGGGTAAATAATTCTTCTCATTCAGAAAGAGGCCAAATCAGCACTCTTAGTCAAAGCTACCAATGGAAAGACACTGTATCTGCAGGACAGGGCATATTGAAAAGGATGCTTCAAAGACAATCAGAGCATCCCCACCTGCACCCCCCTCACCCCACCCCTGTCATTTCAGTGACTCCTTTTCTGAGCACTTTCCCCCCTACAAGGACAAAGCAGCACCCCAATGTCTGGCCATGACAGCTGCAAGTTGCCAAACCCATTGGAGGATGAGCAGCGAGAACCAGAGCAGGGGACAGAGATCCCCCCCAGGCACTGCCAACTGGGAATGTGCCTTGGGCAGGCTTTGGATTCAGGGACCTGCCGGCACATCACACACCCAGCACTGCTGCCCAACCATCTGCCCTTCTCCCACTGCCTCCAGCACAGACAGAAGTACAGCACTAACACACAGAATGCAGGAGGGAAGGGAAAATACCAGAAATCATGGCCACAACAGGAGTTTACGTAGCGCCCGTGGACACTGGAGAGAAATTCACTTACTTGCAAAAATTGATTGACTTCTTGTAGTTTTTGTCTTATTTCCTGCTCAGCTCGTTCTTCCACATCTCTTTCACGTTGTTCTGTTTGGCTGCCATCCAGCATGACATTCTTCCAATGATGGTAGAGTTTTTTCACCTCTTCACGCAGCTGCCATTTGTCCACCTCCAGTTGTTCAAACATCCCGTGCAGAGTGGACAGCTCTTCTTTCAAATCCTCAGTTTGGGCTTCCAGCTGCATGCCTGTTTTAGGCTCCATCTCCAGCTGCTGGGAAAGTTCAACAACCTGTACACAGAAAAAAAAAAAAGAAAAGGAAACTCAGCATGATCTAAAAGCAGTGAATTCTGGGAAAACCTCTAAAGGGGTGGCCAGTGAAACTGTATTTATCATCTCTTGGAAACGAGCATGGAAAACACTGGAAAGATTCCCCGACAGAAAGAAGACACTTTAGACCTACTTAAGAATTTGTGAGACACTTCTGGGAGCAATACTCCAAGGTCCCTTCGAGCTCATCATGACACTCATAATTTATAATCTCTATTCCTCTAGTGTCCACCACAGAAAATACCCTCAGGGCTTTTGTAGCAGCTGGAGAAAGGACCAGGCTGCTTTCTGAGCAGCCTCTACTGAGGAGAATGCAGAAACTGAGCTCCCCTCGGCTCTCCAGGAAAACTTCATCTTGCAGTTTCTCCACAGAAATGAGCAGCTCTGCTCAAGAGTCACAAACAGGGAAATTTATGAGCAGCTTACTGGGGCAGAGGCTTGCAGGTCTCTCTGAAGGGCTTCAACGCGATCTCTCAGCTGTTGGACAGTGGTTTCCAGTCTGGTGTTTTCACTTTGAGAGCTTCAGAAGAAATACAGGTCTTATTACCAGAAAATCCAATGCAAGACAAACTGGGTTAAGTAACAGAATCCAAAGCAGAAGTGTCCTTCAAAATCAGACTGACTCTCCTGTTGTTTCCACCCAGTCCCCCAAAGCTACAGACCCCTCACTGTGTTCCTCTCTTACTGTTGCTCGTGTTCTTCCACTTGTTTTGGAGCACTATCAGTCTCGGAAGATGCCAACAGGATGTACTGCAGTTTCTGGGAAGAAGCTCTTGCTTCTCTTTCCTTATCACCCAAGGCAGTCTTCAAGTCAGGAACACAATGCTCAGACTGAAGATGCTTTTCCTCCAAGTCAGGAACACAATGCTCAGACTGAAGATGCTTTTCCTCCTCCTCCTGCAACTGTAAAATCACGGTAAGAACCCACAGTTTTCAGGTGAGCTTTCCCATAGAGGAGCCAGCTGCTGCCAAAGGCCTGCTGTGCTGCTGTGTGTGTGCACACCCTCTGCCCAGAGAACTGCAATCCATTCAAGTGCCTTCAGAGCTTCACTTCTGCTCCCAAATGAACACCAGCTGTATTCCTTTGTCCTCTTTAACAGCAGCCTCTCCCATCCCTCCACTGATTTCCTACAGCACAGTTCTAAGCACCCACACTGCCCCTCCGACCTTTTTTGTGACCTGTGACACTCCTTGTATTGTCTTGCTTGCTACTCCATGAAAAGGTGCATGGAATAGTTCATCTTCCTAAAGGAAGGCGTCTGGCAAGGGTCAGAGGTGAACTGCTCCGGCACATGTGCTCTGGAGCCCAGGATTGCACCAGGGGAGCATGGGGAGCTTTCTGAAGTGGGAAAAGCCCTGAGTGAAGTGCAGAGAGAGGCACCCAGCAGCCCCTGAGCAGGAAGCAGTGGATGCCTGAGCAGAGGCAGCTCTGCTTCAGTGTGGTGGGGCCAGGAAGGATGGCATCACTGACAAGCTGATGACCACCATTTCAGCCAGGGCAGCCAGGTGAACTGCTCCACACACCTGCTCTGGAGTCGAGAATCGCACCAGGGGGCCTTGAGAGTCTTCTTAAACCAGGAAGACCTCGAATGTAGCAGAGAGAGAGGAGCCCCAGCCCCCCTGAGCAGCGAGCGGTGAAACCCTAAGGAGAGGCAGCTCTGCCTCAGCATGGCGGGTTGTGGGGCAGGGGCCGGAGGGACAGAGTCAGATCAAAGCCCAATGTAACTGCTGCTTCCTTAGGTCTCTGTCATCCTGGCTCCCAAAAGACTGTTTTGTCCATTCTCATGATGCATAGGGACCAACTGGCACCCCCAGGTTTTTCCCTGTAGGGACAGGACTTCCATACCTTGGTGTCAGCCCTGTCCAACTCCTTCTGCAAGTGCAGATTCTCTTCCTCCGGGTGAGCCTCATGGGTTCCAGGAACCACAAGATCAGTCCTAAAGCATCCAAAATTTAATCTGAAACATGTCTGATCCTGCATCATTTTTCCCCTGCTTGCTCCCAAAACAGCTCTTCCCCCTTTCCTATAAGCTCCAGGAAAGCAAAGCCAAGCACATGGAAGCACTGGAGAATTCAGCTGAGAAGGGGCCTCCCTAAAGCAGCCTCAACTCCGAGGTCAGGCCATGCTGTCCAGGGCTCCTTGCACTGCTCTCCAAAGTCCCCACAGATGCGGCTGCACAAACTCCCGGGGCCGTTCACCCCCTGACCATCTGCATGGCAGGGAGTTTTCTCCTCAGCTGCGGTGTCAGCCCCTCGTGTCCCCTCGGACAGTGTTGCTTTACTTTCTGCCAACGCTTCCCTTCAGAGCACTCAATGCCCCAACTGTGCCTTGGCTTGAACCTCCCTGTCCTGCAGAGCAGCCCGGCTGCTGAGCTCATGGCAAGTGTCCCGCTGGCTCTGGGGCTGTGTGGGGAGAGGGCACCACACACAAGGCTTTCTTGCAGACCTCACAGGGCAAAGGACGAGCCCCTAAGCTATGAGAGCAGCCAAGTGCAGACCTGCTTTCACCAGTCACACAGGGAACAGCTTCCACGTGGGTCCTCCTTCTTTTCCCAAGTCCATTGCCATGCCCCTCCTCTCAGTCCCACTTTCAGACTACTGAGAACACCTGGGTGCTGTTTTGACAAACCCCTCACCTCTCAGGCTCAGCATGAGCATGCCTGTCAGCTGCTTTTGCCAGAAGGCACTGCAGAATCTCCTCATGCTGGAGGAAGGCTGCAAGTTTTAAGGGGGTACATCCCCACTAAAAGAAGAAAGAATCCCCATTAGAAAAACACAGACAAGCTCTGCACCTGTTTGAAAGAGCAGCTTTACCCACACGCCAAGGTTACCTGGTTCTGAGCATCATTCTTGGCATTATGCTGGAGTAACAGCCCTGCTACAGCTGTATTTTTAGACAGCACAGCCAGGTGAAGGGCAGTGTTGCCGTCAGCATCTGCCAGATTCGGGTTGGCACTGTGTTCCAGCAGAACAGCAACACATTCTTCCTGCTCCTGCTGTACTGCCTGGGAACAACACACAGAAAGGGAAAGACTTGTAACTTTTACATCCCCCTCTGTCACAACTCCCTCAGCTCCTGAATGCTGGGAGAGAAGAGCATCTTCAAAGATTAGCTAACAGAGGCCCATGCCATGCTGAATGCAACTTGCATGTTTCTATGGGCCTGAGGGCAAGGAATCCTGCCAGACATCTCCTCTTTAACACAGCAGCACTAACCCCACCTACAAGATCATAAGGCATTCCACACACCTTCATCAGTGCCGTTCTCTTGAAGCTGTCAGCGAGGTTCGGCTGGCTGTTCTTTCTCATCAGATATCGAACGACATCTGCATGGCCATTTGCCGCAGCGAGATGCAGAGGGGTCCTAAAAATTAAACATACGCTCTTAACCTGGACAGACAAAGGAAAACCAAAGCTGTGTCTCTACCCAGCACCCTGGGGACCCTGCCCGGACACTGCTCCTCCTGCTTGCTGCTCTCTGCTGCTGCTGCTGCTGCAATCCTGCACTGATGAGCCACAGGGCAGAAGAGAACAGGTGAGGGCTGAGCAGCTGCAAAACAGCCCTGCTGAGAGACCATGGTGAAGTGGCAGGTCGGGGACACGCGTTTCCAACAGTGCTCGAGCCCAGCCGGCAGCTCCAAGCAGGGAAAAGCTCCAGAGTTCACTCTCCCAGCTGACAGGGCACAGCTCACTTTTCAAACCTTGTCCTTCAGAGAGGGCTGCCGAGGACTGCTGCAGCTTGGCTCAGGAGCAGCCCAGCTGTGCCATCAGCGTCCCACAGCACTCACCGCATCTCCTGGTCTCGCCTGTCGATGCCAACTGCCCTCACAAACCAACGCCACCGCCTCAGCCAGGCCAGGTCGCCGCGGGCGGCCGCGCGGTGCAGCCTGCCCAGCCCCTTCTCCCTGAGCTCGGAGGCACTGGTGGAGCTGGGGGCAGCCCAGGGCTGCCCACTGGTGCTGCTGGACGGCGACTGCCGTCGCTTCTTGCTGAGAAGCCACGGCATGGCCCTGCTCGGAGCTCCCAGCAGCAGGAAGCGCAAGAAGCCCCCGGCGGGGCTGCCGGGAGCCAAGTAGGGATGAAGAATGGGACGAGGGTGAGGTTTAGGGTGAGGGTGACAAAGGGGACAAGGATGAGAATAAGGATATAAAGGGTATAAAGCACAAGGCAGACGAGGTCGCCCTGTGCAGTGGTCGTGGCCTGCAGCCACCAAGCCGGCAGAACAGGCGCGCAAAGCTCCCAGAGCGGGATGTGCTGCTGCTCCCAGAGAGGCCACAGCAGCTCTGAGCGCCGGCTCTGGGCACCACCAAAGCCGTGCCCTGCTCACACCTGTGGCGTCACAATGGCTGGGGGGACGCTCAGCACGTCCCGTGGGGTGTCCCAGAGGCCACGGGGCAGGGCGGGGCCGGGCGGGACATGGCCGGGCCGGGCAGGCGTGAGGGCGGCCCTGCTGGGCCGTGTGGGAAGGAGGCGGCCCGGGCCTTGTGAGGGCGGCCGGCGGGAGTGGGCACTGCCCCGCTCAGGGTGCCCGGGGCAGGGCCCGGGCCGCTCCCACCGGGCCGGAGGCTGCGGTAGGCGCTGGAGCAGATCCCGCCTCACCCGCTCCGGGTTTTGGCTTCAGCTGTGGCCGGGCTGCGTCGGGACACACTGCCATGGAATGAGGCTCAGGATGGGCTCGGATCCCAGCCCGAGCAGGTGGGGGGGCACCCGAGCTCTCAAAAAATGCCCACCGAGCGCTCCAAGCCTGCCATGCCAGAGTTCCGGGACAATTCCCCAACGCCTTTGTCTTGGCCCTCTTGAAGAGCAGACACCTCACCCCCCACCCCATCGTCCCTGCTGTCACCTGCTGCTTTGCCAGATGCCAACAGGGAATTTCTGCTCTGCTGCTCCACCAGCCAAGCGGCAGCACACAGCAGGGCAGGCATAAACTTTAAAACACATCTTGTCCCCGTTTGTCCCCATGACAACACAAAGTGAAGGCCCAGAGGTTCTGCACCAGCTTTCTCAGGGCAGAGACGCTACAATGTACCACTGTTATAATCTGCTTAAATACTGTAGAAAGAACTTCCGATTTGGATATTCCCTTGAGCAAAATTAAAACTCACACAAGTTATCTGTTGATACCAAAATCTGATTTTATTAATTGCTAACAGATACAAAGAGAAAGAGGAAAAAACAAGAAAAGGTTGGAAAATGCTTAAGATTATATTTTAGAAGCAGAGAAAAGATACCACCATACCACCTTTCCTGCCAAGCTGGTGTGTGTGTGTGTGAAAGGGGGGGAAGTAGTTTTCTGCCTTTTTTTTTCCCTCTGTATCTGCTGCTTTTTTGATGTTATCTTTTTAGTTGCAGGGGTCTGAGAGCTTTAGTCCTCTGGAACTCACACCCAGCCATGTCCCAGGCTGTGCAGGGTCCCACTCAGCTGCACTTTTAGGCCTTCAGAAATATGACAAGGCTGGAAGGATAAGGTAGAACTCCCACATGTGGCACGGTGGTCTCAGCTCTCTCCAGGCTGGCACAGTTCCAGTCTCCGGTGGCAGGCAGGCAGCACGCGGTGGCGGAGAAAAGGGGAGGGGAGGTGGGGAGAGATTCTCAGCTACAGTCACCAGCTCTCTCTCCCTTTTCTGTCCCGTGATTTTCCAAAATTTTCCTCAGTTTTTATAGTGCTCAAGGGAGGTTTTACGTGGTTTCTTGGCACGTAGCCAGTTCAGATGTTCGAGGAGATATGGTAACCTTAAACAACGGCAGGATTTATTAGCAGGAAAAGTGCAGTGAGAAGTCCTGGTGAGAAATTCTGGCAGAAAGCTGATAGAGAATGTTTGGTAGGAAGTTTATGATATGCAGAAACAATGAAGAAACATATTTTTTGGTATTTCTTTATTATCTGTGTGGTACATCTTCCAAAAGCATGTCCCTTCGGCTGCCTCAGGGCTTCCTGCAGTCCCTGGGTTCTTCTCTTCGTCAGCTCCAAGAAAGGAAACCAAAATCAGTGCATGACTTTAGCAGCACATCGGCCAAACCCCAACCATTCCCACACTCACCGTCTCCTAAGTGCACTCAACTCCTTGTGTGTCTGCCTCAAGCAAGAGGTGCAGCTTGCAGCTCCCACTGCATGGTACACCTGGAACAGGGAACAAAAGCTTTCAGTGGCATTTCTGACACTTCCCTGGACCCCTGCTCCTCCTCCATACCTCCCCGACTCACCTGGGACGCTCATTTCTTGCCAAAGGTTACCGGGCTGGCACCTCCAAAGAGAAGAGGGCAATGCTTAAATGCCCAGGCCTGAAGACCCTGCCATTGCCCACAAGGCCAGCAGAAGAGCACCTGAGCTTGTCGCTCGGCTCCTCGACCCGTGGCTCTGCTCCTCTGGCAATACGGATGGGCACTGCAAAGAAATCACAGAGGCAAAAGCAACTACAGATGGATCCCCTCAGAGTGCGACATTCTGACCAAAGTTCCCCTCTCAGGTTCCTTTACACTCACCTCTTACTGCAAGGACCTTCCAATTCTGCTGGTGCTTGTCAGGTTGTACACCATCAGAAAAAAAGCAAATGCAAAATGATGTGCTTAGATTTACCAAAATTACAACCCACCAGAAATATCGTCTGATTGTTACCGGAAGGAAAATGCTCACCTTATTTTTCTGCACTCCAGTGCTGTTAGCCCCAACAACCACCTGCATCCCACCCTGAAAGAAAGAACAAAAGGATGCTCACAGAATGACCACTGACAAGAAGGGCTGGAGATAACCTTGGATTCTGGGTGGCAGGAAAATGCTCACCTTGCTCATCTGCCCTCCGGTGCCGATAGCCCAAAGCAACGCTTGCAATCCGACCTCGAAACAAAAGAGCAAAAACACTCTCATAGAATGACCACTGACAAGAAGGGCCAGAGATAACTTTGGATACAGGCTGCCTGGAAAATGCTGACCTTGCTCGTCTGCCCTCCGGCGCCGATAGCCCAAACCAACCCTTGCATCCCACGTCGAAAGGAAGAACAAAAAGAGGCTCACACAATGACCTCTGATAAGAAGTGCCTGTAAGAACTGCTAAGACAGACCCACAAGAATCTTACATGGGGAATATGCTGTGCTCTGCCCTGCACACCCTAGTGCTGCCCATAAAACTCAGCCTCTCCGCTTCCCACTCCTACGGGACTTCTTCTTTGACATCCCCTTCCCTATGCTCATTTCAAAAGCTCTCAGGAAATTCCCAAGCCTGTACCCAGCTCTCATCCCCCTCTCTGCCTCAGAGCCCTTCACTTATCTGGCAGAGAGAAGGGCCTGTTCATCCACCTTCCAAAAGCATGTCCCTTCAGCTGCCTCAGGGCTTCCTGCAGTCCCTGGGTTCTTCTCTTCGTCAACTCCAAGAAAGGAAACCAAAGTCAGTGCATGACTTTAGCAGCACATTGGCCAAACCCAAACCGTTCCCACATTCACCATCTCCTAAGTGCACCCAAGTCCATCGTGTGCCCTGCCTCCAGCCAAGAGGTGCAGCTTGCAGCTCCCACTGCATGGCACACCTGCAACAGGGAACAAAAGCTTTCAGTGGCATTTCTGACACTTCCCTGGACCCCTGCTCCTCCTCTATACCTCCCCGACTCACCTGGGACACTCATTTCTTTCCAAAGGCTACCCGGATGGCACCTCCAAATTGAAGAAAGGAATGCTTAAATACTGAGCCCTTAAGTCCCTGCCATTGCCCACAAGGCCAGTGAAAGGGCACCTGACCTTGTCACTTGGCTCCTTAACGTGTGGCTCTGCTCCTCTGGGAATATGGATGGGCACTGCAAAGAAATCACAGAGGCAAAGGCACATCCTGACAGATCCCCTCATAGTGCAACATTCTGACCAAAGGGTGCCTCTGAGATTCCTTTATACTCACCTCTTACTGCAAGGACCTCCTTCCCATTCTGCTGACACTTGTCAGGTTGTGCACCACAGGAAAAAAAAACAAATGACAATAGATGTGCTTAGATTCACCAAAATTACAACGCGCCAAAAGGACCATCTGATTCTTACTGTCAGGAAAATGCTCACCTTCCTCGTCTGCTCTCTGGTGTCAATAGCCTCAATCATCACCTGCATCTGAACTTGAAAGAAAGATCAAGAAAGGTGCTAAAAGAATGACCCATGACAAGAAGGGCCAGTGATAACCTTGGATTATGGCTGGCTGGAAAATGCTGACCTTGGTCGTCTGCCCTCCAGTGCCGATAGCCCAAGCAAACGTACGCATTTCACCTTGAAAGAAAGAACAAAAAGAGGCACACACAATGACCTCTGACAAGAAGGACCTGTAAGAACTGCAAAGACAGACTCACAAAAATGTTACATGGGGGATATGCTGCGCGCTGCCCTGCACAACCTAGTGCTGCCCAGAAAACTCAGCCTCTCCGTTTCCCTCTCCTAAGAGACTTCACCTTAAACATCCCGTTCCCTACGCTCATTTCAAAAGCCCTCACAGCTATTCCCCAGCCTGTATCTGCCTCTCATCCCCCTCTCTGCCTCAGAGCCCTTCACTTATCTGGCAGAGAGAAGGGCCTGTTCATCCACCTTCCAAAAGCATGTCCCTTCAGCTGCCTCAGGGCTTCCTGCAGTCCCTGGGTTCTTCTCTTCGTCAGCTCCAAGAAAGGAAACCAAAATCAGGGCATGACTTTAGCAGCACATCGGCCAAACGCCAACCATTCCCACACTCACCGTCTCCTAAGTGCACCCAACTCCTCGTGTGTCTGCCTCAAACAAGAGGTGCAGCTTGCAGCTCCCACTGCATGGCACACCTGGAACAGGGAACAAAAGCTTTCAGTGGCATTTCTGACACTTCCCTGGACCCCTGCTCCTCCTCGATACCTCCCCGACTCACCTGGGACGCTCATTTCTTGCCAAAGTTACCAGGATGGCACCTCAAAAGAGAAGAGGGCAATGCTTAAATGCCCAGGCCTGAAGTCCCTGCCATTGCCCACCAGGCCAGCAGAAGAGCACATGAGCTTGTCACTCATCTCCTCGACCCGTGGCTCTGCTTTTCTGGCAATACGGATGGGCACTGCAAAGAAATCACAGAGGCAAAAGCAAATACAGACGGATCCCCTGAGAGTGCAACATTCTGACCAAAGTTCCCCTCTCAGGTTCCTTTACGCTCACCTCTTACTGCAAGGACCTCCTTCCCATTCTGCTGATGCTTGCCAGGTTGTGCACCATTAGAAAAAAAGCAAATGGCAAAGGATGTGCTTAGATTTGCCAAAATTAAACCCATTGTGCTACTGCGGGACGAGGTGACCTCTCTGCACAGTCTCTGCCGTCCCTGCCAGCCAAGTTCTGCCTGGGCTCTGTGCACGGGGAACGGAGCGCTGACAGTTTTCAGCCCCCACACTGTTCCACAAAGGCTGTGATGTCACAAGGCCCTTGCCTGGCACCCAGGAGATGGGCAAGGCAACGCAAGGGCAGAGTCCGGGGACGGAGCAGGTGCAATGGGAAGGAGGTCCTTGCAGTAAGAGGTCAGTGAAAAGGAACCTCCTGAGAGGGGACCTTTGGTGAGAATGTTGCACTCTGAGGGGATCTGTCAGGATGTGCCTTTGCCTCTGTGATTTCTTTGCAGTGCCCATCTGCATTCCCAGGGGAGCAGAGCCACAGGCCCAGGAGCCCAAGTGACAAGGTGGGCAGTGGCAGGGTATGGCAGGGCTCAGCAATGAAGCATTTCCCTCTTCTCTTGGGAGGTGCTCTGCTGAGCCCTGGCTCTGCTGCTGAATTGGACTGGCCTTGGATGCTGCCTGGGTAAAAGAGTCAGGAGACCCTGGGGAGAGGTGAGAGAGAGGGGTCAGGCTGGTTTGATGGTGCTGGGAGGGCCATGGGCTGGGAACCACCAAGGCAGTTCCCCTTAAGGGGTCATATTTTGAGGTCGTTCAACTTATCCATCGGCCACAAAGAATTACAATATTCAACCAGTTGCTCTGGCATCAGGGCGTTCCTCCCCCTTCCCAACCCCCGCCTTTACCTGTTCCTTAAAATACAACCTGCAGGGCAGCTTTTTGGGATCTCTTCTCTTGGGAATTGTGAAGATACAATGCTCCCATGTTTAACCCGCCAGGCAAAACCACCCTGTGAACACCTTTCCCAGCCTTTCCCAACCTTTCCTGAAGCTGAGATTTTACGGGCATCCCGTAAATATCTCCCAATCTTACCCAAGCCTGCAAACCATGACAGAAACCTCTCAGCCTCACACTGCGTCCTTCTCATTGGTGTGCCTTATGTACAGCCAAAATACCTTAAAAACCAGTACCCTAAATTGATGTCCTGTTCTTTTTCCCAGAAAAGAAGGCGTGGTGAACTCTCCAGACCAGGGAATTGGAAGATCTCCCTGAAACTCCTTTGGTACCCACTGCAGGGCCAGCAATTCCTCTGGTCTGCCATGCTGGTGTTGCTTTGTCTCATCTGGGTCCCCAGAGACTGTCACTGAAAACTGGGGAATAAACTCTCTAATCACGTGGTTAGGGTGGAGAGTTGACCTTACTTTATTCAGCACTGAAGGGACATGGGTATTGCTCTCTAACACATGGGCATCAGTTCTCAAAACTTTGAACTCTTTATACATTTTAGCAAACAAAGGAATTCATGTCCATTGGCTGACAAGTTCTGTAGTTCTCTGCATTAATTCTTATTCTCTCTTCTATTGGCCATGGATTTCTCACTTTGCATGGTACTTAGTCCACAGTTTTTGTCCTTTTCTTATCTTTTCCTTAGATAGGCAGAGTCTCAGTAATTGTCTGTGTTAGTTTTGTCTTCATCTCTGGTTTCTCTAAGTGACTTTGTGGTTTAAAAATTCTGCATTCTTGGTGTCCAGATCTCAAAACCAGATTTCTCTCCCAGGTCTCTGAATTATGCCAGGCCTTAAACTTTTAATTTGGTTTTCTAACCAACAGACATGGCCCAGAACTTTTTCATCATCCATTATCTATCTCACCGATTCACTCTCCTGCCAACAGTTTCTCCCCACTGCTGCGTGGGCTCCTTTGTCAAGAAATGGAACTTGTTCAGCAACAAGTCCAGTCCTGTTTCATATTTTTCTTGGGGATCTGCATGAGGGGATCGAGTCTTCTGTGAGCAAATGGGCAGATGACCCCAAGTTGGGTTGCAGTGTCGATGTGCTGGAGGGTAGGAAGGCTGTGCAGAGGGACCTGGACAGGCTGGATCTCTGGGCCGAGACCGTGGGCATGAGGTTCAAGAGTGCCTTTGGTGCCTTTGGTGCCTTTGGTGCCTCTGGCCACAATAACCCCCTGCAGCTCCAGGCTGGGGGCAGAGCAGCTGCAAAGGGTCCCTGGGAGTGGGAAAGGCCCTGGGGGTGCTGGTCAACAGAGGCTGACCCTGAGCCAGCGGGTGCCCAGGTGGGCAAGAAGGCCAAGGGCATCCTGGCCTGAATCAGAAATAGTGGAGCCAGCAGGAGCAGGGCAGGGATTCTTCTGCTGGACTGGGCACTGCTGAGGCCACACCTGGAGTGCTGTGTCCAGTTCTGGGCCCCTCAGTTCAGGAAGAACATTGAGGGGTTGGAGTTTGTCGAGAGCAGGGCAATGGAGCTGGGCAAGTGCATGTCCTGTGAGGAGCAGCTGAGGGAGCTGGGGTTCTTCAATCTGGAGAAGAGGAGGCTCGTGGCTGACCTGCTCACTGTCCACAACTTCCTGACAGGAGGGTGGGGCCAGGTGGGCTCAGCCTCTTCTGAGAGGCAACAGGTGATAGGACAAGAGGACATGGGGACCTGCCTGTCAGGGGATGTTTGTCAGGGACAGGAGCAGGACTTCTTGGGCAGAAACAGGGATTAGGTATTGAAATGGGCTGCCCAGGCAGGTGGTGGAGTCACCGTCCCTGGAGGTGTTCAAGGGAAGGCTGGACATGGCACTCAGTGCCGTGGTCTGCTTGACGTGCTGGGGATGGGTCGTAGGCTGGACGCCGGTTGACCTCAGAAGTCTCTGCCAACCTCATGGATTCTGGGCTTCTGTGCCATCCCAGTCTTTGGGACAGCGTGCTGATGGCTCAGAGGCTCCATCCTTGCCTTGCCTTGCCCATCTCCTGGCTGCCAGGCAAGGGCCTTGTGCCATCCCAGCCTTTGTGGAACAGCGCGGGGGCTGAAAACTGTCAGCGCTCCGTCCCCGTGCACAGAGCCCGGGCAGAACTTGGCTGGCAGGGACGGCACAGACTGTGCAGAGGGGTCAGCTCGTCCCACAGCAGCACGATGCCCAGCCAGGGCATCTCCTGGCTCCTCAGGCTCTCTGTGCTCCTGCTCTTGCCTGGCACACTCGAGCCTTGCAGCCGTCCCACAGGTGCCATTGCTGATCACCAGGGTTTTCCTTGGATGGTGCCATCAAAGGCAGGAGCGGCTGGAGAGAGGGCAGGGAGGGGGTCAGGCCGGTGGGATGGTGCCAGCAGGCCGTGAGCCCAAAGTTGGCAAGGCCTGGGGCCAACAGGGTGTCAGGAGAGGACTGGGAGCCCCCAGGGAGGAGGAAAGCTGGGCAGGCCCCAAGGCTCCTGGGCCTCTCCCTCGCCAGCCCTTTGCCCAAGGCCCCGAGGCAGAGGTGGGCTCAGCCCTTGGGCAGGAATGGGGCACAGGCTGAGCCCCAGGGACAGCAGACACAGGCAAACCTGAGCTCTTTGTCCTGCAACGTCTGCCTGGGGCAGCCCAGCCAGGCCTGAGGCTCTCCAGGACAGGCCAAGCCCAGCCAGAGAGGGCTCAGCCCTCAGAGGCTGCAGTCACTCCAAAGGGAATAAAACATCAGCCTAGAGGACATCCTGCCCCCAGATGGAGACCTGGAAATGTCAAGAATAAAAAAGTCACCCCCTCCATTATCCAAGGAATGTTTCCAGCTCTTTACTAAAAGCATCCAGGACTCAGTCACCCCATTTTCTCTCTGACAAGGGTTTGCAGGGGCTGCTTGGGAAAGGGAACCCCTGGGCCCCATTGCAGAGGGTGGGGCTGCACTCTGGGGGTGTCACCTTTGGCTCTTGGGTTCCAGGGGCAATTGGAGTCAGTGAGCCGGGCTGGGGACGAGGGGCAGGACTGGCTGGGCTGGCTCTGGTGCTGGCACAGAAAATGGAAGTGTCCCCACGGGGGCAGCTCTGAAGGGCCCAAGAAGTAAATGCTGCCCCAGTGCAGGCTGTGCCAGGGGTGAGTGTGCAGGGGGGAAGAGGCTGGGCCAGACAGGGCTGGGCAAGAATGGCCATGCCAGGGGAGGGATCTCCCCCTGCCTCCAGGGCCCAGCCCCTGATGGGAGGGCTTGGGCAGGGCCTGGTGTGACTGCATGAACCTCTGAGCCAGCCCAAGGGACCTGCTTTTGGAAGGTGGAATGACATGCCCAGCTCTCTGCAGGATAAATCGAGGGCTCTGAGCCAGGGAGGGCCCGAGAGCCGGGTACAGGTACGAGTCCCTTAGGAGAGGGAAGCAGAGAGGCTGAGTTTTGGCCCCAGCACTGGGGTGTGCAGGGCAGAGCAGAAAAGCTTCCCCCTGGAAGAATCTTGTGCATCTGTCTTTGCAGGTCTGACAGACACTTCTGGTTAGAGGTCGTTCTGTGAGTGTCTTTGTGTTCTTTCTTTGGAGGTGGGATGAGAGCAGTGGGGTGGGCTATCGACACTGGAGGGCAGACAAGCAAGGTGAGCATTTTCCTGCCAGTCAGAATCACATGTTACTTCTGGTGGGCTGTGTGTTTGGTGAATCCAAGCACATCCCTTGTCATTTGTTTTTTTCCCTGTGTTACACAACCTTACAGGTATGGGCAGAATGGGAAGGAGGTCCTTGCAGTAAGAGGTCAGTGTAAGGAACCTCAGATGGAAAATTTGGTCAGGCTGTTGCACTCTGAGGGGATCTGTCAGTATGTGCCTTTGCCTCTGTGATTTTTTTGCAGTGGCCATCTGCATTCCCAGAGGAGCAAAGCCACAAAATGTCACGGTGCAGTCCCTCCCATGTGCCATAGGCCCCTCTGTGATGTCATGGCCTGTCCTCTCTATTCAACTATCGACACTGGCAACCAAAGAACCAACGCCCCACACCCACACACTGCAGCCCTACCAGTGTTCCATGGGCCCCTTTGTGATGTCACAGACTATGCTCTCCATCCCAGAATTGCCCCTGGCAACCAAGGAACCAACGCCCCACAGTGTCAGAGTGGAGCCCAATCCATGTGCCATGGGTCCCTCTGTTAC